TAGATTAAAAGACCTTGACTTCCCAAAATTATAAAAATATTGTCTTAAGTTTTCTTCTGTATTTATTTAACCTCCCATCTTTTTTTCCCTCACTACACCCAAGTATGTATGTATGTATGTATGTATGTATTTTTTTTTTTTTTTTTGTGGAACTGGGGATTGAACTCAGGCCCTTGCACTTGCCAGAGCAGTGTAATTCTGCTACGCAAACACGAACACCAAAGCGATACCCAGGGCTTAGCGGCAGGTGTACGCACATTGCTGGGCACTGGTCGGGATCTCTTCCCACGAAGCAAGCCTGGATCTCCGGTGCTCTAGGGGTTATGTGGGATAAGAAAGCACGAAGTACATGGAAGGAAGTACAGAGGCGGGAAGTACGGGAGCAGGAAGTACAGAGGCAGGACGGCTTGTCCGCTGTACTGTACAACATGTACCAGAGGGTCCAGCTGTGTATCACAGTAAGCAGCCATTTCTAAGAAACATAAACAGTAGGAACTGTAACCTGCACTGTTACCCGGGCAACTAACATGCAGACGTCTACTGACCCGGGGGCGGCAGCACTGATGCCACAATTCTACAGTTTCTGTGTCTGCAGAGGTCGCTTTGTGAGCTTCCTTCCCTTTTTCTGGAAGCAGCTGCCATTCAGTGCACACTTTTCTATCTTAATTATTTGGTTGCTTTGGTACAAAACTTGATGTCTGGTACCACGCCTGTCCTTCTCGTGCAGATCATTGTGCTGGTTTTGGACCCTCAACTTCTATGTCAATTTGAGAAATTACCAAGATTTTTACAGAAATCACAATACCGATATAAACCAGGTTCCTGGGGGAAGTTGATGTCTTCTACATTACTGAAAGTTCTGATCCTTCCCACAGTACAGTGCTCTGCTGCCTGAGGACATGTCTTATGTTTTTAATTAATTTTATTGAGAAACAAATAGCAGTGAGACAGTTTCAATCCAATTAGTAGGGCAGTTTCAATAATACACTGCATATTGTTGTCTTCGCAGTAGTTACTCATAGTACAAGATGCAGACATGATATCCTGCCCAAACACTCTTAGTACAAATCCTTCTTCTCATTGAATTAAGAGGAAGTAGCTGTATATCTATCCTATTTTGTATATACAGATACAAAATGGTCCTCCATTTGTATCCCCTTTTTTGTTTAGTTTTGTCAGAGAAGAGTACTCCATTGCCATTTAAATATTGTAGGTACGTGAATTCAGCAAAATAATCCAACATAATCCAGTAGTCTAACAGTAGTGGGTTACCTGCAGGACCGGCAATGTCAGAAGTGGCTGACTTGAGTCCTTTACAGCTCAGCCAAAACTTTGGTTCTGCGTGAAGGTCTTGAACGTTTTGGTGAGTCATGCCTGCTTAATGAATCGCCCTTAATTCAAGAAGACGGTGTGAGAAGCACACATGTTTCATTCTGGTTTTGGCCACTGTGCAGATACATTGCATTTTATATTTGTCTTACGTAACGCTTACTCTAGCAATTATTCATAAACTTCGGAGTACTTTTCTATGCTCACTGATGCCTACACTTCAGGGTCTCCGTTCATTTCAACAGCCTGCTGTCCTCCCTTCATTTTTTCTTTTCTCTCCTCCTCATCCTGCTGCACTGGTCACAGCCGCAGCATAGTGCCGCTTGCCACGTCCGCAGTCAGCTCTGCTGTCCGGCCATCAGTCGAGAGGCACAGTGTTTATCATTTGCTTCCATGAACACTTTCCTACATTGATGTTTAGACATGTAATTCTTTCGTTTTAGATCTCTATCCTGTTTTAAGCTTATCACTGGCTTTAAAATCTTTTCCTGTATTTCTCTACATCGGCCTTCTTGAGTCCATTGGGTGACCTGCGTTTTCCAGAGCCCCACCTCGTGTGTGCTTCGCCCCCCAGTGCGCCGCTTCCTCTTCCCGTTGTTCTGTTCTGAGCAAGGTGCTGGGCGCACACGCTACGAAATGCTGGAGAGCTCCCCCAGCACGACCGCGATGAGGGGGAGTGCACTACTTCGCCGCAACTTCTGGAATTAGTAATAACACAGATTTGTATTTCATAAACTTAAAATATAATAATTGGGAAGACTGTTGATAAAAATTCAGATCATGAAAGTTTGAAAACAACATTGGAATAAAGTCAAGGAACTAGTAGACAAACATCAGTTCAGTTAGAAACTAATTCTTTTAATTGCAATTAACATTCCCAGAAAGGGCGTCTTGAAGAAGCCCCATTACAGACGCCCATAACGGCCAAGATTTACTGAGATCAAACACAGGTTGCATAACGGATTACTGGCTGGAATAGAAATGGAGACAGGCTGATGCAATAGAAAGCAGTTTTAGAAAAAAATCAAAATTAAAAGGTAACTGTTACTAACATACTAAGAAAAATCTTCCAGAGAAAAGAAAAAATGTGCAATACTTTTACTGAAATAACTTGTTATCAAACTAAAATCTAATAAGAAATAAAAAGAGTAAGAACTGAGATTTATAAGTTGGATATTAAGGAAACGAGTATGTCCATTTAAACAGTGTGGAATAATAATTCAGTACAATTCTGCACTACTTACGATGATCGCGTCATGAGAACACAGAGCCAAGCTTTCCTGAGGCCCCAAGCAGCGAGGCTTTGCTGAGGTAGTCGGTCACTTAGCGAGGACACAACACACACCCTCCACAGGCACGAGTAAAACAGCCACGGGGATGGGCTGCGAAGGCCTCTACACCAGTGGGTGCCACACAGCAGCGACCACGCACAGAGCCTAGACTCGTGAGTCCTCCACTGTTCCTTGCAGACTCAGGAAGCCTTGCCCTGCAGGGCACACAGGTGTCCACTGCGGCCCCCTCCAGATCTGGCCCATCACGGTGGCCCATGTGCTGGCTCTGCTCCGGCCTGTGTAGGTCTCGAGCCCACAGCCTGGTCCTCCCTGGCCACCCACATGGCCTGTCTGCCCCTGTCTCTGCTGGGTCAGGGGAAACCCGCCCTCCTGGCTCCTTTAGCGGTGCCCACAGAGACTTGGCCAGGTCCTCTCACTGTGCCTCATAACGTCCTCCTGGCTTCCTGGGAGCATCCCAGCCTGAGGCCTGAACACTGCTGTGGAGCTGGACTGGGCAGCATGAGGCTCTCCTGCAGGCTGGAGGGACCCCATGGTTAGCACAGGGTCCATCAGCTGCTGTCACAGACTGAGAGTAGCTCCCGCTGTACCCCTCAGTATAGGATGCAAGATGCTAGCAGGACCACAGGGCCCGGCTTCTTGACTCCGCCCTCTGCACCCCAGCACCTATCTCTTCTCTGATCTCAGCTGTTCACGTCACACCTGGCTGCCTGGGTTCCTGGATGTCCCCTGATGCTGCAGGCCCTCAGGTACTCCCCGGCTTACCATGCCTCTAAGAGGGCCTAGCGAGCCCCTGCCTTCACAGCTGCCTCCTGGCCCTGTCTCGCAAGCCCCGGTGCCCTCACTACACTCTGCCTTCGTGCCAGCCACACTGAGCTCCTGCTGATGAGCCGGTTCTCTCTCCTCTGCGCTGGTGCTGTGGGTGCTCTATGCTCTGCCTCCTGCACTGGCAGCGGGGCTGTCTGCCACCTGCGTCCCTGAGCCCAAGGTTCCCAGAACGCGACCTCGTGTGACTGCTCTCCACACGCTCGGCGCGGAGGACACCCTTGTGGCGACACCGAGGCACACTGAACACGGTGCACACATGTGCCCAGTGACACGTGGGGCCCATTCTCTTACATGCACTGTGACACACTGCTGTTCCACCTACACTGAAATGGATCTGCATGTTGCAGGAGTGCAACGCGGGAAAACCAGTGACTTGGAAGTGGGCAGCACCGGCATTGGGAATTTTGTTTAAAATATTTGAAGCCAGTAGGGCTGAACACTAGCATCAGTTGTGAGGGAAAACAAGTGCCTATTGTTTCTGTGTCTAGACATATTCAATATTTAATGCTTGAGCCAGGCATGGGGTGTGCATCAGTGGTCCCTGCACTTGGGAGGCTGAGGCAGGAGGGCTGTCACAGATTGGAGCCAGCCTGGGCTGCCTGCTGAGTTTAAGGTCCTGAACTATAGGGCAAGACCCTGTCTTGACAAGATAGATAGATGATAGACAGGCAGGCAGGCAGGCAGGCAGACTGACCGACCGACCAACTGACCGACAGACAGACAGACAGACAGACAGACAGACAGACAGAGGTGTGGATAGACAGACAGGCAGGCAGGCAGAGGAGATACAGGGTATTTAGGGAGTGCCTGCATATTTCACACTGTGTGTAGAAAGTGCAGTTGGACGTAACTGCAAGTGCTGCCTGCAGAATGTGAGGTGACCCAGCGGCCCAGGGTCACTACACCACAGGCTGTGGCTTTATTTCCTGCACATCCGTGTGTAAGGAGCAGGAAGGGCTGCAGACACCAGGTGCAGCTCAGCGTCTGCTAGCCCATGGGTCCCCCTGGCATTTGGGTCCCCAGGTTGGGACACAGCTCACTGCCCACACCCTGTGAGCCTCCTAAGGTAGGGAATTTGTCACCAGCCTCCTTGCCTCTGTTGGAATTTCCAATAATATGGTTTTCTGGAGCTAAACATCAGGAAACAAATCTGAGGCGCAGGGCCCCAGGACCTGCCTGTGTGCACTGGCCTGGAGAGCCTTGTCCTGCTGGGCCTGCTGCCCCTCACGGCCCCGGAAGAGCAGCAAGGCTGGAGCAGGCTCTGGGCACCCTCTCTCGAGTTAGCAAAAGGCCTGGTGGTCCTGGCCACTGTGGGGCCATCTGCCTTGCAGGGGGGAGGTCCACACCTGGCTGTCTCTGCCGTGCTGTGCTCAGGCAGGCTGCATGCGGGCGGCGGCACCTGTGCCTCGGTTCCCGCATTCCCACTGGCACCCAGTGCCTGGGCACATGTACTTCTTTATTTTGGGAATGTGGCTCTGTGACAGTGAGGGTGGCTGGCGGCACGAACGCTCCAGGCCAGTCAGGCAAACACGCAGCTGTGCTCTCTCTCCGCAGCCTGCACTTCATCGTTTTTGACACGGAGCTGGCACATGACATCCTCAAGGTGTGGGATGGCCCGGTGGACAGTGACATCCTCCTGAAGGAGTGGAGCGGCTCGGCACTGCCAGAGGACGTCCACAGCACCTTCAACTCGCTCACGCTGCAGTTCGACAGTGACTTCTTCATCAGCAAGTCAGGCTTCTCCATCCAGTTCTCCAGTAGGTGCAGTGCCTGCCCGCGTGGCCATTCTCTGCCCAGCGCGGTGCACCCTTTGCCTCCTAGGTGTCCCTCTAAGCACTATGTGTGACTCAGCTTGTGCTGCGGAAGGTGCATTTTGTAGGAAAGAAGAGACGTCTCTGCTCACTTGTTGTGAGGTGCTTGCCTGGAGCCCCATAACAAAAGTCAGATTAGTGAGAGAAACACAGACGCAGGAGCCTCGAAAGGAGGGCCACAGGAGTGAGGAGTGCTCATGTGGCTCATAGCCACTGGAAACAGGGAGAGCTTACGTGGTCCATGGGCCATGGAAGAGGGTGAGGGCTCACATGGCCTATTGGCCACTGGAGAGAGGGAGTGCTCGCTTGGTCCACGAGCCACAGGATAGAGGAAATGCTCATGTGGTCCATAGGCCACTAGAGAGAGGGAGTGTTCATGTGGTCCATGAGCCACAGGAGAGGGAGTGCTCACATGGGTCCACTACTGGAGACGAAGACAGGGTGTGATCCCAGGGTGTCACCTGGGGTGTAGCAGGCACACTGTGCTGACTCCCCTCAGTCTGTGTCCTTTCCTCTGGGGGTGGGTGCTCTGGAGCGAGGCCCTTGTGTCCTGCCTCAGTGGAAGATCAGAGCTCCTGTGTGGGTGGCTCCAGAGATGCGGCAGGAGATATGAAGGGGCCATATTTTGGGGTGGCGTGTCTGGGCCTCTTAGGGAGCAGCCGGGCTTAGGAAGCTCTGTAGGGACAGGCAATGCGTCTATTCGTGGTGAGCGGGAACACTGCTGTAAAGGTTGCCGTCAGCACAGGACCAAAGCTGTGTGGAAGAGGAGGGCCCGCAGTGTGCATGCAGCCCCCCGACAGCCCAGCCTGCAGGCGCTCCCAGCCCCCAACTGCCCTTGCTGCAGTCTGTGTGGCGCTGGTCGGTCGTGCGTGGCTTGCCCACTCTCAGCCTCGGGTTAGGAGTGGCCTGTGTCTCCTCCCGAGCTGAGATTTCAAGAAGGAAATGTGAGACAGTGACTGCGGGATTACTCATGGGCGGCCACAGCCCACACCTGGACGGCTACCCACTCAGGTTACTTTGCGGTCTGGTCCACTTTAACAAACGGCTTCCTGCGAAGGCAAAGCAAAGCTATTTCATGGCAGTGGAAGCCGACAGCGCCCTCAAGGGGCACCATCAGGGGTGGCATGAAACCTGGCAGCACATGGGTCCACTGTCATCGTAAAGCCAGTGGGATCTACACTGTGGTCCCCGCAGCTCCCTGGGGAGCCATGTGTAAAGTTTACACAGGCAACGGGCCAGGTTAAGCTAAGGCCTTGAAAGGCTGTGAATGAAAGTGAGGCCACAGACCGCAGGGCGCCGTCCTCCGGGTCCACACGGGTGAAGGCAGCCGTGGACTGGCACACGCCTGCGAATCACAGTCGGGTGTGCAAGTTTTCAGCCTATGGCAGGAAGCTTGGTCCGGTGACCTGCTTGGGGGAGGTCCACATGGCCCGGCGGCGTCCCTGCTGCTTTGTGCATTGACGCGAAGTTGGGCTTTATCACCTGAGAGGAAGTTCATGGGGTTGGGGCCTCGGGGCCTCGCGTGGCAAACGAAACTATTGTTAGGCTCTAAGTTAATAGTGGACAGTTTCCTCCTTTTCTGTACATTACGGGCTGTGTAAAATTTAAACGTATTTTGTCTATCATCCCTGTCGGTCTGTCTGTCTATCTATCAACCATCTGTCTATCAGCTGCCTAACTACTGTGGCGTAAGGAGTGAATTTAGAGCCCTGCACACATGAGGCAGATGCTCTTCCCAGAGCTGCAGACGGAGCACTTTGCACTTTCATGTTGTGAGACAGGGATCTGTGAAGCTGCGCAGCCTGGGCTTGAACTTGCAGTCCCTGCCTCACCTGCCACGTGGCTGGGCTTACAGGCACACGCCACTGCCTTCTGTGGCACTTTATGTACCCTGGTTTTAGGTCAACAGCAAATGAAGAGAAGTCACAGAGAGCTCTCACAGGCCTCCACCAACAGCCTCCCCGCTCCCACACTGCGCAGCGTGTGGGTGGGCACAGTCCCGAGTCCACACAAGGGGGAAGGCCACACCTCGGAGTGCAGGCTCACTTGATGCGCTGTCCTGTGGTGGGCGTGGGCATGTGTGTCATGCCGTGTGGGCTGCTCCAGCAGGGCAGCACATAGTCACCTCCTTGCCCTCAGGGCTCTCAGTGCTCCTCCCACGTGTGACCCTCCGCGACTGGACCCCTGGTCTTTCCGTGTCCCGATCGGTGCCCTGGAATGTTCTGTGGCTGGAATCGCTGCCCGTGGCGTCCTGCACTCACACCTTTCTTTGCCATTTCCTCCACGGCTTTCGCAGCGTGAAGCCTCCCTTCCCTGCTCTGGCGAGCGGGTCCCACTGTCCGCTCGGCCCACAGCGGCTTTGCCCCTTCTCTCACTCCAGGAAGGGCAGCCTTGAGGCTCGGCAGCTGCGCATGAGGCTGCCGCCACCCTCTCCTGCAGCTTGCGGTGCGGATCTGGGTTTTTCTTTCCACGGAGCAAGGCCTGAGGGAAGCAGGATGGCACCTCACTGCGCTCCTTTTGTGTCTTTCCTCCTCCTCCTCATGGAAACCCCCCAATCACTTTCTCTGTATTCTTTCTGATTCTCTCTGAGGACGTCCTCCTACTTTAGCTTTTAGGAAAGCGAAGTTTAATTGTCTGAGTGTCAGCTCCATTTCCTCTCTGTGTAAGCTCGATTAATTAAGGCCTTGTGGCTTAGGCCACGATGAACAGGAACACCCCAGGAGGCCTCTCCGGAAAGGACAGCAGCAGGACTTCCTGGGCCTGGGTTTCCTGGGTACCAGTCTGAAGCATGCAGAGTTCTCGGGTGTTGGGAAGGACGGTGCATGGGCGGTGGCTTCCGTGTCTGATCCCTTCTCAGGCACATCTCCTGTCCCCAGATGCCTGCCTCCAGTCTGGATGCGGGAAATGGCACTGTAGGGGCGAGAGCTTTGGTTGATTCTCGGGCTTTTAAAGAAAGACTTTCTGCAGGTCACAGAAGCCCTCTAAGCACTATGTGTGACTCCTGGGGAAATCAGGACACAAAATCTGATACAGAAAGCCAGAGCTGGACGGCGCCTCAGGAAGCTTAGGTTCCGGCCTGCTCCTCAATGAATGGGTAGCCTTGTGCAGCCTCCATTGTTCTAGTGGCCTGGGGTGTCCAGAGAGGTCCCCAGCTCTTCCAGGGGCTGCCCAGCCTCCATGGCCCAGTGAGCATGGGGCGCATGGATGGAGGGCTCTCCAGGAATCCTATCAAGAGAGGCACCTCGAGCAGTCAGGGGAGAAAGGGAGCCTCCTGCATGATGCAGGTGCAGCTCTGGAGGCGGCTGGATGGTGGGCAGGTTGGGTGACGTTGTCACCTCCTTGCTTGCACCCCTCTCAGGATCAGGCCAGCAGACAGCAGGGAGGTCTGCCCCGCACAGGCGGACTGCAGGGCCTTGCCCCTGGCTCCTTGGCAGGCCCAGTGGGGCCCAGGGGACATGGATGTGGATCTTTGTGGGCTTGTTTTGGTCCTGAGCAGCTCATGTTTGGGTACCGGCTGGGAACAGGCAGGGTCTGTTCATGTTACAGAGCATGAACCTCACTCCTGAATGCGCATCACTTTCTGATTCCATTAGAAATGGTCCATTCCTCCCTGTTCTACCTGCTGTGGGGACGCAAACACTTTCTCCAGAGGACAGAAGGCTGCTGCTGGCCCTGGAGCTGTGTCCCTGACCACAGCCGTGGCAGCCTGCACAGCACTCGCCCCTGCTGCCTGCACTGGGGAAGGCTGCAGGCAGTGGGGTGTCAGACCTCAGCGCTGCAGTCTGTGGGCTCTGCCCTGCGCCCTGGGGCCCCAGCTGACAGCTGCAGTGATGATGCTGATGTGGTCAGTGAGCACCTTTCATTAGCGCTTAATCACCACTTAATCACGGGTGGCACACCAGGAAGTGGAGGTCGGTGCCGGAAGATAGGTGGCATCAACTCCGTCCACAGATGGCATCAACTCCGCTGTCCTCAGGCCTGTCCAGGCCTCCTGCCCTGGGCTTCTCCTGGGTGCAAGGCATGTGCTGTGCTCTCAGCCCCAGGATTGATTTCTGCACAAACAGCAGAGGTGACTTAGTGGCTCCGTGACATGTCTCGAATTTTCTTTATTGAGAGATAATTTAAAGGAAACATTTATCATTTAAGAGGACAGGGCAGTTACTGAACAGGGCAGAACCATTTATAGGTGAGAATAAGGGTCCTAGTGCTGATGGGCTGAGTGTCCAGCAGCCATGCAGGGATCACGCGTCTGGCTGGGTCCCCCCCCCCTCCCTCAGAGCCTTCTGGGGACAGTAGAGAATGGTGTGTCCACAGCCAACCGCTCACATGGCACATGTCATAACAGAAACATACAGTGAGTCTTAGTTACTTTTCTCTACTTATTGAGGCAGAATACCCAACTCCTAAATGAAAGAGAGAAAGGCGTAGTTAGCTCCCAGTTTGTGGAAGTTTCAGTCCATAACAGCTGGTGCCAAGGCGGGTGGCACAGGGGCAGCACTCCAGGGTAGCAGAAGACAGCAAAAGTAGTAAGAACAAAAGTGGGGGCGAACCAGCTGCCTTTGCCCCCCTATCTTGTAAGCAGGCTGCCCCCGGGGCACAGCTTGCAGACCACCTCCCTGTCCTCCCCTTGCACAGGAGGAGGATGTTCACAAAACGAGGGCCCGGCTCCCTGCTGAGCCCTGCAGTTCAACTTCAGAACTTCTCGGGGACACAAGGCATCAGCCATTTCCTGTGAGTGCTAAAAACTTCATCCCTGAGGAAGACACACTGCCCCGAGCCCCATCACAGACTCATCCTCCCTCCAGACGCATCCTCCCCTCCTGCCAGCTACTGCCCAGCCCGCCTGGAGTTCTCTTGGCCGAGAGTCGCTACAATGCGTCGTCAGGTACAGGGCACGCCGCTGCTGGGCAGACACTGTCTGGGGGCAGTGTGCGGCGCGTCCTCCC